TCCTCCCCTACCCCTCCTTCCCCCTCCTCCTCCTGCTCCTCCTCCTATTCCTTCTCCTCCTCCTCCCCTCCTCCTCCTGCTCCTCCTCCTATTCCTTCTCCTCCTCCCCCTCCTCCTCCTCCTCCTCTTCCCCCTCCTTCTCCTCTCCTCATTGCCTTCCTCCAGCCTGGGATGGAAGACAGAGCTGACCCGGTGGCTTATGAGAGGAAGCTCTTCTGCCAACAGCAGCACATGGAGGCCCTGCAGCCTGTTCAGCCCACCCGTGCTGCCCCCACGGGGCCTCTTCACCTCCGGGCGGGTCCTGATCTTGAGGCAGACCTGGCTCCCGCTGGGTGGAGGCTGCCTCCGGCTTCCATCTCTCCAGCTGTGCTGTCTGACTCTGACAGCTGAGACACGGGCATGCATCTTCTCAGAAGCAGCGCTACACCTGAATCCATCTCCATGTTCTAAATGCCACTCAAGACGTGGCTCCACGTGGTCGGCAGAGGCCCTGGACACCCTCCTGGGCCACCAGAGACCAGCGGCAAATGCACATCACCAATGCCTCAGGGTCTTGGAGCTGGCGCGCAGCAGGGCTGGCTCCTCCGGCCAGGGACAGAAGTGCCGTGTGCTCACCAGGAGGGAGCATGCACACCGCACACTGCTCTAGTCCTACACACGTCTCGCTCAAGGCTTCCTGGAGCCTGAGTCACCTCCTCAGGGCTCCATCGCCACCCCCTGCAGATTCCTGGAATACAAGGAGCCAGCCCACAGGCCAGGGTCTTGGGGACATCAGCTCCCCGGGGAGCTCTCCACGGGTTACAGGGCACGGCCAGAGGTGTGAAGCCGTACAACATCCACTCAACGCACAGCACATTGGCTAGTGTGGACTGCAGCCCAGGCCAGAAGTGTGCAAGGAAAACACTTCCCTGTCCCTTCCTGCTCTGGCCTGCTGAGGACACTGAGGCCGGCAGGGAGCAGACTTGCTCTGCGGGCCGCTTGGTCAGGTCTGTCAGACTGGCCACGGTCTGGAGCCCACACGGCTCCACGAGCACCTGGGCAGAGCGGTGGTGCCAGTGCCTAACGCTCCACGCAGCCGACCCCGCATCAGCCCGGCCTGTGCGGGAGGCCTGGCCTCATCAACATGCCTCCTCTGTCCAGAGCGCGCACCTCACAGCACATCTGCACCAGCTAGTACGTTCTAGCTCCTCTGCATGGGTCCTGGGTTGCACGGTCCGCCCGGTCCCCTCTCCCTGGCCCTTGCGTGCCCCTTGGCACCTCTTTGCCCATTTTCTCCGGCTCTGTGGTGCTGTTCTCGGAGGAAGCCTGTGGGGGCGCTGCCGGCCAACTCCCTTCTTCCATACTCTGTTTCTTTTTCACAAATCTGTGTCATTTTCTTTCTTTTGTGCTTACAAGTTACTTTGTTGTTCTTTCTTCAAAGTTCTGAGATGGAAAACAGCTCTATCTTTGTTTTTTAACTGCAGAATTTTTTAAGTAAACATATTTAAAACCTGCCAACCTTATGCAGGTGGCTCCCGCCTGTCATCCTAGCTACTCAGGAGGCTGAGATCTGAGGATCAGAGTTCAAAGCCAGCCCAGGCAGGGAAGTCTGTGAGACTCTTATCTCCACTAAACTACCAAAAAAGGCAAAATAAAGTAACTGTACTTAATTAAGCCAAATGTCAGTGTGTGAGTATAATGTGTTTCCACCAGTCACCTCTCCTCCACCTCTCCCAACCCTACCATCCCGCCGTCAATGCTACTGGAGATAGCCAGTGGGGATAACCAGAGGGGTCACAAATGGGCATAATCCATGTGAACGATCAATCTGTGTTCTGCCTGGTATCCGTGAAGACTGGCTTTCCCGGTGCCCAGCCTGGCATGATTACCTAGACATCAGTGTTCTCTCTCATTCTGTAACTGTGCCTAAAAGCACTCAATCGAAGGTAGGTATGGAGAGAAAGTTAATTAGAATAAGAGTATCTGAAAACTATAAGACAATGCACTTACCACTTCTTCATGGGTCGCATTTTCTACATGAATGCCATTAACCTGAACAGATGACAAAGTAAGAGTATTTAGAATAATTGTCTAAAATCAAAAGGCAAAGATTCAAGTGTTCACAACTAAAATACTGACCTGCAGAAGAGCATCTCCTATGAACAGCATCCCTGTCTGGTCAGCTGCAGGGTTGCAAAGGCAGCAGAAATGTTAGGAGAGATCTCAGTGATATGGTGCTTTGTTTCTGCAGTTTTTAAGCAGCATTGTACTTGAAAGGCAGGAGTGTGTGTGTGTGTGTGTGTGTGTGTGTGTGCGTGTGCGTGCGTGTGTGTGTGTGTGCACGCGTGCACATGCATTTAAGCATGTGCATGTACTGGTGAATGTATGCACAGATGTGAATGTGATTGGTAGGACACAGGAATTACTGTATGTGCGCATGTGTACTTGCACACATACCTATATGGTGCATGTTCCTGGAGTAGCTAAGGCATGGACACAGATGTGCGCATCTGTGTGCAGTCATGCATGAGAGAATCTGTGTTTGTGTGTGTGCACATGTCTGTGTGAATAGGGAAAATGCAGCACGCAACAGCGAGCAGTAACTGGTGAGCTCTGCCATCAGTCCCTTTACCAGCACATTAACAGAATCACTTTCAAGGCAGCTACTGTGTGACGTGGAGCACACATGCCATTTGCTGGAATGAAAGATTTCATCACATTGTGTGGAAAGTCTGACTCACACCTAAGTCCAGACAGACAAAACCCAAAGACTTCTAGAAGCCATTTAGCATCTCCTTCATTGTGCCGAACAAATATACACAGACAGATATGCATAAATGTAATTAAAAAGGCTGCCAGAATGTCAAAGCCAAGGAAAGAACTGCATTTAAAGTGGATGTAATATGCACAGTGTAGTTTCAATTAACATTTTCTTTGTCAAGGGAAGGAAAGATCCTTTCGATAAGACTGAGCATATCTGCATCGAATGTAAAGCCATTTTTCCTTTGTATGGGTTAGCATTAGTTTTATGTCTTTGATTAAATACTGAGAAGCAAATAAGAATAGGTTTCTTTGCATGACAGAATGCTACGTAAAACAGTAAGCAGATTTAACGTTAATGGTCAATGTTATTTCTAGTCATTAACAGCATTAGATCATGTTGAGAATAAAATACAGGCTACATATATTCCTGCATGCTAAGGCACAGATATCGAGTGAACTTAATCAAGTTCTCATTCCAGGCCAGAGCTGCCACCCACTTAGTGTGATTCCACAGGCCACCCCCACGTAGAGGTGTGATTCCTCAGACCACCTGCCACGTAGAGGTGTGATTCCTCAGATCACCTGCCACGTAGAGGTGTGATTCCTCAGGCCACCCCCACATAGAGGTGTGATTCCACAGGCCACCTCCACGTAGAGGTGTGATTCCTCAGGCCACCCCCCACATAGAGGTGTGATTCCACAGGCCACCTCCACGTAGAGGTGTGATTCCTCAGGCCACCCCCACATAGAGGTGTGATTCCACAGACCACCTGCCACGTAGAGGTGTGATTCCTCAGACCACCCCCCACATAGAGGTGTGATTCCACAGGCCACCTCCACGTAGAGGTGTGATTCCTCAGACCACCCCCCACATAGAGGTGTGATTCCACAGGCCACCCCCACCGTAGGGGTGTGATCCCTCAGACCACCTGCCACATAGAGGTGTGATTCCACAGGCCACCCCCATGTAGAGGTGTGATTCCTCAGGCTACCCCCACCGTAGAGGTGTGATTTCTCAGACCACCCCCCATGTAGTGGTGTGATTCCACAGACCAGCCCCCACATAGAGGTGTGATTCCTCAGGCCACCCCCACATAGAGGTGTGATTCCTCAGACCACCCCCCACGTAGAGGTGTGATTCCACAGACCAGCCCCCACGTAGAGGTGTGATTTCTCAGACCACCCCCCATGTAGAGGTGTGATTCCACAGGCCACCCCCCATGTAGAGGTGTGATTCCACAGACCAGCCCCTACGTAGAGGTGTGATTTCTCAGACCACCCCCCATGTAGAGGTGTGATTCCACAGGCCACCCCCCCATGTAGAGGTGTGATTCCTCAGCCCACCCCCATGTAGAGGTGTGATTCCACAGGCTACCCCCATGCAGTGGTGTGATCCTGCAGGCCATCCCATGCAGTGGTGTGATCTTGCAGGCAGGCCCCATGCAGTGGTGTGATCTTGCAGGCAGGCCCCATGCAGTGGTGTGGTCTTGCAGGCCAGTGCATGCAGTGGTGTGATCTTGCAGGCTGGCCCCATGCAGTGGTGTGATCTTGCAGGCCAGTGCATGCAGTGGTGTGATCTTGCAGGCAGGCCCCATGCAGTGGTGTGATCTTGCAGGCTGGCCTCATGCAGTGGTGTGATCTTGCAGGCTGGCCGCATGCAGTGGTGTGATCTTGCAGGCCACCTCCATGCAGTGGTGTGATCTTGCAGGCCAGTGCATGCAGTGGTGTGATCCTGCAGGCCATCCCATGCAGTGGTGTGATCTTGCAGGCCACCTCCATGCAGTGGTGTGATCTTGCAGGCCAACCCTTGCAGTGGTGTGATCTTGCAGGCAGGCCCTTGCAGTGGTGTGGTCTTGCAGGCTGGCCCCATGCCGTGGTGTGATCTTGCAGGCTGGCCGCATGCGGTGGTGTGATCCTGCAGGCCATCCCATGCAGTGGTGTGATCCTGCAGGCCATCCCATGCAGTGGTGTGATC